GTGTTTGCAGAGATTCTACTTTCTCAGATGGTGGAGAGGTCTATTAGTAGCTTATGATCTGATCAGACAGTTGGCAGTGATCTGAATAGGTGAGATCTTTACAGTATATTGGTGTGTAACCCTCTGTGCTTCACAATCACATACCCAAATTGTATCTAAGGGGCAAAGGAGCTGTTTCTCACTCCCCAAGAACAAATTCTTGGGTCATTTGGCACTTTCTGTACAGGTGCATTAATTTGTGTGAGGCAGTCCTGCATTCTTACTGTAAGTAGTGATAGCATCACGATTAATAGCCAGGAACCACCAGTGCCTACTGTCCAGTCCAATGAATTAAATTGATGTATATTGACAGCTTTTTATTTTAAAAACCTTTAGACCATCTCCCTTGGAATTCCTCCCCTTCCTCCTCCCAGTTTCCTGTTCAATAATGTATATGTATGTGGCAGCTATATCTTTCCAGTACCCATGTGTCTCTGGAGGGCATCAGCCTTACTTTTGCTGTTACTTTCTTTTGCCTCCCCTTTTTCCTAGGAGGCTTTTAGCTTAGTTTGATAAATATTTCCCCCAGAAGTAGTTTATAACCTCCAATTCCACTTTTAACAGAGAAATAGAGTATTTTGGAAGCAGTAGTTGTTGAAGAGCTGCTGAGCAGAAGCATGCAAGAGCTGGCTTTCAGATAGCGCGTCTCTCTCAGGAGAGGGCCAGACTTTTCTCACACCTTGCTTCTAATTACTCTATTGGAGAGTTGATTGTAGGGGCGTCTGATTCAACACAATCACATTTGAAACCCAGGAAAGAAAGGGAACCATAGTGGGTATGTGAAGGCCACTTTCATCCAGAGAGATCAGGGAAGCTGAGAAAGTCAGTCAAAGTGACTAAAGGGAAATAAGAGCTGGTGTAGAGACTTGGAAATATTTTGGTTTTAGAACCACTTTTAGTGATGTAATTTTTTTTCCCCAATGGGGCAAAGTCAGTCGCTTCCTCTTAGTTCTCATTCGGACTGTAAGTGTGACTGAGGCATGGTCTGTGCTTAAAAGTGAGGTTGACATAGCTAAGTCAGTCGAGGTGTGAAAAATCCACCCCCTGACTGACATAGCTGTGCTAACCTGCCCCTGGTGTAGATGCAACTAGGTCGCTGCTTCTGTTGAATAGCTACCATAATTCAAGCAGGCAGTGTTCCTACACAGAACAACCTCTTCAGTTGGTTTAGGCTTTGTCTACACTACAGGGGTTATGCCTATGTAGCTGTGGTCATTTAGCTCTGCTGGTATAGTCTCTGTAGCGTAGATGCACTCTGTGCAGACTCTGTTGTGCTGAGACCACTTCTCAGATGGCTGCACCACCCTCAGCCTTGTATCCACGGCATTGTTTGCTATCAGGTAAGGGGGGCAGTTTCATCCCCACACCTTTGTTTGCTCCCCCCAGCTTTCCATGTGTGTGTCTGCTCCACTTTTTGCCCCTCCCCCAACTTTGTAGGATATAATATAATCACATATCATGGTTTTTATGCTGATACATCTCTACCCCGATATAACGTGACCTGATATATCCAAATTCGTGTTAGAACGCAGTAAAGCAGTGCTCCAGGGGGGCGGGGCTGCGCACTCCGGCGGATCAAAGCAAGTTCGATATAACGTGGTTTCACCTATAATGCGGTACGATTTTTTTGGTCCTGGGGGCCGCGGTTTATTGGGGGAGGGGGGGGGAAACTTCCCTCCCT